ATCGTGCATGGTTCGCTCAAAGACGCTCCCATTGGCCAGCCTCCTTTGCGCTGAACGACGAAGTCTTCGACAAGGAATATGTCGCCCTTCAAACTGAACGCCAACGATTGGTTCATGTCACCGAAACGGATCATCTCGTAATCCGTTTCTCTGGTTTGTAGTGGCAGATTTTTTCAGTGTCCAGATGTTGTTGGTGGGTCTTCGTGGGCAGGACTGGCCCGTTCCGATCTTCTTCGCTTCTAGGTCAACCTACTCGGACTCCGCGGCCCCGCTCCTGGAGCTCACGGACCCGTCCGTCCTCGGCAAGATAAGCAGTATGTGCAGGGAGTGCCTCTTCTTGTCCACGACGAAGGCGACGATTCGCACTGATGTGGGCCCCGACGATTGGCAACGGCTGCTGGAGGACATCTGGGCCACGGATCCGGAGGCAGCAGTGACCATGCTTCGCTGGCGCCCCTCCCGCATGGGCGGCCGCTCCATCGCTGCTCCAGCAGCGGCCAAGGAGCGCCTCCGCGCAACACAGCAGCCGGCGGCGGCCCGCCTTGAGACTCAAGGCGGTGGACCTTGCATTGCGGACCTCACGGCCGCGGGCTCCCTCGGCTACGACCCGCCGAAGGCTGTGGGAGCTATCATGGCGGTGGTGCTCCAGCAGACGGGGATCGACATGAAGCACGCGGACTCGGCGATGCAGCTCCGTGGGATCGCGATGCACGTAGGCGTCCACGTCGCCGCGAACCCGGACAACACTCTAGGCGATCACGTCTATCATTTGGGTCCTCTCTCCTTGGGGGGCGTCAGGCCAACGAGCAGCAGCCCCCAGACAGCTTCGGCATGGTCATGGTGTTGGCGGGCACGGTGCTCTTCCTCGGGAGGGTGCTGTGGCGAATGCGGTGAAGATGGCGGACGTCCCGTACTTCCTCTACCGCGAGCTGCGTGGGTGGTGACGATGTCACAAGTTTTGATGGGGACGAGATTCCTGTGCATGTCTACTTGGAGCCCTGCGACGTGAAGGACTACCCTGGGGCCTGGGTGGTGTCTGAAGGTCGGCGGGCTGTTGGTCCTCGAGATCATGTACATCGCGCTTCTGATCGCCATGATCATGTACACCACGCTTTTCAATTTTCTGATTTTCAGAGGAGGGATTGCTTGACCTCAGGGTTCACTACGAGGGATAAGTATGTCGAGAAGATCCATACTATGAATACGGTGGCAGTCTGTGCAAACAACGCAAGTGGGGGCCCTATGAGTATGTGGAGGGCACTTCCCAGCGACCCCCTCTATGGCGGTGGCGGCAAGGGAGGTGCCAAGAGAACGACGCGCCGATCAGATCAAGCTTCGGTCCTCCAGGGGCTGGTGAAGGCCGTCAGCGCGATCCAGCAGCACATCGGGCTGCGGCAGGAGTCCCCTGCCGCGGCGTGGCTTGGGCCCAACCCTGTGGGCCAAGCCCAACGTGCCGCGAAGGCCAAGCCCAAGAAGACGAAGGTCAAGCATACGGACACCCAGATCGTGGAGCGCCTGCGGAGTCTCATCGGGCATGTGGACACCGCCACGGGCGCGCAGAGGCAGGCCATCACGACGGCGGTGGTCTGCAACAAGTTGCGTGAGCTCGTCGCGACCTTCAGCGCGGCCAAGGCCGACAGCCCGCTGGAGGAGGCGACGACGACGACGACACCGACGACGACAAATACGGAACGACTGGTGGCCCAGTCCTGGGGGACTGCGGTCTTAGTAGCCGCGGGCCAGGCTCGCGCCAAGCTGGAGACGAACACGGAGCCGCTGGTCATCCTGTCCTCTACGGAGGCGGAGTGCACGGCGGCGGAGCAGGTCAGACGTGCATACGGCAACAGGACGGACATCACACATGTGGTCTCGGATGCAGCAGGTGAACATTACGTGCTCCTCCATGGGCCGAAAGGCCCGAAGAAGATGAAGGCCCGCATCGTGTACCATGGTGCGGATTCTCCGAAGCGTGCGGGCTTGGATGCGGCCATCAAGGACGACGAGGCCGTGCAGCACGAGAAGTTATCTCTAGTGAGTTTCCGCATCACGGTAGTGCAGGAGCTGACGGGCGAGACCCTCTACCACCAGATCTACAACCAGCCCCAGGCCCTCCCGACGGTGGTGTTGGGGAGACGGCAGCGGCGCAGATCGTGCGCACGCGGGGTGCTATTGCATATGAGGCCGAGACGACTTGCGTTGCGACGACCCCCGAGAGTTTCGAGCCGAAGTTGAGTGAGATTGTGCCACCATTGGGCTGTTTTCTCATAAAGCAAGCGTCGACGACAACTCCGAAGTGGTCCACGCAGAAGGAGGAGGAGGCGCCGAAGGAGTATCGCAAGAGAGTTTGTGGGCTACTGAAAGAGCAGCGGAATTTGTTGGTTTACCGCCCCTTCGGACGAGCCAAGCTTGGAGCGGTCGCGCAGATCAGTGCTCCAGGCATGCTCGGGCTCACGAAGTACTACATCAAACGCGCTTTTCCGGCCTGGGCGACTCCGCAGCGCGTGGCCGATTGGGCGACGGAGAGAGGGTTCTTGGGGGCGCAGGAGCTTATCAGAGCTGGGCCGCGGGCTTGGCTATTCTATGCGGAGCTGCCGCAGGGTGTGGTGGCGACAAGCTTTGCTTTCAAGGGTGGTGTGCTGATCGCAAAGGCGGTGAGACCCCAGGTACCAGCACGACAGAAGCCGAAGGAAGGACCACCACCTACGACGCGGAGTGCGTGGGGGGCTGCAAAGCCGAGAGTCCGGAACATCGACGAGGAACCAGTGGATGCACCAGCGTCGGCGGCTACACAGACAGCAGCATCGACAAAGGAGAACGCTGGAGCTGCAGCCGCTGCCAAGAAGAAAACGCCAAGGTCGAGACCAAGGACGAGCCGAAGGTGGAGTCGAAGTCCAAGTTGCAGAGAGGAGAGGACGGCAAGGCAGTGGGCAAGCACACTACGTCGTTTGCCAAGTGGTGTAAAGTTGTTCAATGTGCTGGAGAGGGTGATTGTTTCTATATTGCAGCAGGCCGTGGTCTGCATCATGTTTCCCCGAGCGGGCGCGCGCCGCCCGTCAACGCCTTCGAGCCGAAGGGCCCGATCCAGGGGCACTTGCGACTGCTGGTGCAGAGAGCTGGACTGAAGAAGGTGTTCGAGAGCCGAATTCCAAGACGAAGAAGGAGGATATCTGGTTGACCCTCGAGGACCAGCACTACCAGTGGCTGGAGCCTCGATCGGACATCCAGGACCTGCCCGAGTTTCAGAACACGCTACGTCTGTGGCGTGACCAGGCCTTCCCATGCCCCCAGCATGGACTGCAAGGGAGTGGAGGGGAGGATGACGAGGCGGATATTCTATCTTTACTTGGTCTGCGGAGCACGCCGACAGCGCGCGCAGGTGCCATTGCGAGCATCCTGGGACTGGACGAGCGCGCAGACGAGATGCGGGGTATTCTGGGCTTGGAGTCGGGAGGAGCTGAGGCTCTGGCGACGGAAGCTACAGGTGGCGACGACGAAGCTTGCAAACAGTTCTGGTCATGGCAGACTGGTGAATACTACATGTGTGATAAGTGTGGTTGGACGCCCGACACGTCCGACAGAAGAGTGATGGGCAAGCGCAAGTACACTTCCTTGCTGAGCGCGCAGGCGGACACGCGCTGGAGGAAGTGCCAGGGTAAGCCCGCGCCGAAGATCGGGAGGATCGTGCACTCTCACATCTCCCAGTTCCTCGCCAACTCCGCCAGGATCCGCGAGAATGTACGCCAGCGTGGGTTCGCCAAGCACTTGATGTGGAAGGCGAAACTACCCATGCGTATTCAAGAAGCGGTCTGCGAATCTGATCCTCGGGCGGTGTTGACGATCCCCAACTCTGCGAAGAACCACACGGCCTACAAATCCACTCGACATGGTATTCAGCGCGCGCTTGGACAGGCGCCCTGGAACATATGCAGTGGGAGTCAGAACACAGTTGCGCGGGAACAGTTTTTACAAGCACAGTCGGTCTATCACGCATGCGGCACTACTTCGAGGTGGAGCAGAGGCGCATCCAGCGCAAGAAGGCCATGTTCGGACCCGACAAGCGTGAGAAGAGGAAGAAGTACTGGGCCGAGTACTCCAAGCGGCCCGAGCACAAGGAGAGGAAGCGGATTCAGAACAAGAAGCTGGACAAGAGGAGGTTGCAGAACGGCCCTGAGCGCGAGCGCTACTTGTTGCAGAAGCGCAAGCGTGGGAAGGAGGCCTGGAGGAGGAGGGTGGCTGCGCGGACGACGTCGGCTTCGGCGTCAGCGTCTGCGTCCAGCCTTTCGTGCTGAGGGTGCCCCGACCCCCGCGACCCGCTCCGCGGGGGTGGGGGGGGGGCCGGCGAGGAGCGGCCTGATGCGGATGGCCGCGGTCAACGTCGCAGTTCTGAACGCCGCCAGGCTGGAGGGGCTGCTCACGCACGACGACTTGAAGGAGGTGGACTTTCTTGCCCTGCAGGAGGTGCGCCTCCGCACCGAGCGGCCGCGCTGGGTGTCAGCCGCGGCCCAGAGGCTGGGATGGCGGTGTGCCGCCAGCGTCCCGCCTGGGAAGAATGCGAATTCAGTTGCTACGCAAGGGGGTGCGGCTTTGTTACGGCGGCCCCGCGTTGGTGGAGTCAAAGTCTTTCGGTCAGAAAGTCACAGGCACATGGGTGTACGAGGAGATTTTGGTACGGTCGCATCTGCATGCGGACCTGCTTCGGTCCCGAGTACGGAATGGATGGATGAAGTTGTCGATTGGGTCAAAGTTGTTGTTGCTAGGAAGCCCTGGTTTATCTTGGGAGATCTCAATTGGAGGCAGTCTTATCAGCAGTGTGTACCTATTGACGCTACTGTATGCCAGACGACAGCGCCGACGACACTGGCGGGGACCACTCCTGCCAGATTATGTGCGTCAAGTGTCGCTGTCCAGCATACGTCAACGGTGTCTGTGCAGGGTATCCCGTACCACGGCTTGGCGTTGCGCACTACATCTTGGAGTGCGGTGGTGGGCCCTGCGACGAGGCTGAAGCGTGCGTCGATCTTTGAGTTGGATCAGAGTTTGCAGACGGACGTGGACCAGGCGTTACCTATGCTGGGCACGGCTTACACTATGACTCGAAAGTGGGAGCGCTGGCATGCACGGGCCAACCGCGCGATGGAGCTGGGGGTCGAGGCGGGCCTGCTCGTGCGGATTGGGGGCGCTGAGAGACCCAAGGGATCGAATCCCGAAGAGAGGCCTGTTGCATCGACTCCGGAGCGGAGGCCGAACGAGCCCATCATCCTGTCCAGATTGAAGAAGTTGGCCCGAAGTATTGCAGAGCAGTTGAAGCGTAGCCCACCGACCGCGAGATTGGATGGGCACCAGCTCGATGTGTTCATCGATTTCTGTTTACGGCATGTTATCGACAATGGATGTGCTGGCCCTCCGAGCCTCGGTCGAGCCCATGACCGAGTCTCAGAAGCTATTGCCAGGATGGAGCGCCGTTTGCGGGCGGAAGACAGTTCATCTTGGAAGCAGATCTTTGCTAGAGAAGTGATTGATTCGGAGTGGTGGAGAGCGGCGAGTTCGGTCATGCACGACTCGACGGAGTGCCCAGCCTTCACCGCCGACGACATGTCCGAGGAGTGGCGCAAGATCTGGCGCCCCGAGGACTTCAACGGAGCGGCGTGCGCGACCTCGTGGGTGGAGCACGCTCGGCGGATGCGTCGCCCCCTTCCTCGGAGCAAGGCCCAGGCGGGCTGGGTGCCGAGCTGGGAGCAGCTCCTAGGGGCCATCGCTCGTGGGAAGGGAAGTGCTGGCTACGATGGGTGGACAGCCCGTGAGTTGAAGATGATGGCCGTGACGTTCGAGTTACTGGTGCGGGACTTGGACGACCTGTGGCTGGACACGGCGAAGTACCTCGGGACCAACGGCATGTTCAAGACCGTGCCCCTGGAGGAGAGGCCCGAGGAGGTGGTGAACTTACAGAAGTTACTTTTCTCTTGGAGAGTGGTGGGTACCCCAAAGAAGTGCGGAGCGTCGCGGCCGATCGGGGTGGCGAGCGTCTTGTTGAGAAGTTGGTTGACAGCGTGTGAAGAAGCCTTTCCCTCCCCGCAGGCAGCTCAGTACGCCTGCAAAGCGGAGTCGTCAGTATGTCAAGCAGTGTGCAGTTGGCTGAAGGCGTTTGTCACCGCGCAAGCGGGCATGGAGCGCGATCTCAGCAAGTGCTACGACCAGGTGCCCCACGAGGTGGGGATTGCTTCGCTCCATGCCGCGGAGGCGCCATCGGACCTGGTGGCGGTGTCTTTCGCAGCGTGGACGCGGCCAAGACGATGCCAGGTGGCCGGTGCTCTCGCCCAGGAGGCGGTCTGGCCGTCGCGAGGCCTGGCGCAGGGGGGCTCCTGCGCGCCCAAGGTCCTCTGCTCTGCGCTGGCCCCCTGGGAGGTCGAGGGCGAGCAGTTCTTGTTCATGGATGATCGCTCGCTGGTGTGCGAGACGGACCAGCAGCTCATCAACGACATCAACACGACGGACCGCTTCGACACAGAGACGGGGGCCGTGGAGAACAAAGGCAAGCGCCAGGAATGGCATCGTGGCGAGTTTCGCCGCATCGAGCACATCGGGGTCGAAGCTGTACCAGACGATCCCACGGCCCCCGTCGCCCCATCGGGAGGATGGAAGAAGGTGTACGCAGCCATCGCCGCCCTGCGGCAGCTGCCTGGAAGCTCACGGACACGGTTGCGAGCTGCTGGTGCATATGTGGTGCCGAGGTAGCTCTGGTGTTGCCCTGTGTTTACGCTCCCGCCCGCGGATGTGGCGGCGAAGCTTATGAGTTCGATATTGCGGACGAGATGCCTCTGGTGGTGCCGTGGGCGCTTTTGGTCTCTGCATATTCAGTAGCATCCAGTGTTTTCTAATGTTCTGACGGCGGTGCGACGTCTTACCGATTGGGAGATGGACCACAATCCCTGGGTCGAGCACAACTTACAGGTATTATTCGAGTCTGTGGGGTTGGTATTCGCGCAGTACGATACCGAGAAGGGGGTCAGATCCCAACTGTCCGAGGAGGAGGAGGACCCCAGAATGAAGCGCATCTTCCAGGGCCGCCAAGGGTTCTGGAGTTCTGAAGGTGAGCGAGCTTCTCATGTTCTGCGTGCTGTGTGTCGCCTGAAGGCCTTGACGAAAGCGACCCCCGCGCGGCGTGATTATCCTGGAATGGAGGGCGTGGATGTCGAGGCCTTGTCGGGTGGGGCCTGGAAGAAGTTTCGCGATGCCCTCGCCCCAGGCGAGTGGCAGAAGGTTATGATCTATATGTGTGGAGCAGCCAGCTCCCTCACGCGCGGGGGAGATCACGATTTTGACTGTGATCCGTACTGCCCGTGGTGTGGAGAGGCTTTCTGGCCCTCAGTCCGTCATTGTGTGACGGAGTGCGCCGCCTTCGCGGATTTCAGAGCACAGCTGACCGACTTCTACGGTGTGCCTGCGAGCTGGTGGACATCACAGCCGAAAGTTACTTCGAGTTCGGGGTGGATCATATGCAGCACATCGTGTGGCGGAGCGCAGATCAGAACTGGTGGTGATGCAAGTCCGAATGGGAATGTACTATGTTTCGACAGCAAAAGGTATGCGAAGAGCTAACATACCGTATGCGAGAGGCAGACTGTCCCCGTGAGATATCATTCTTGCAAGAAGAGTTGCCACGAATACACATGTCGAACAGGCATTGGTAGTGTGCGTACTGAGATTATCTTTGCTGTACTTGAATTTCCACATCCTGATCAACTTGATATACTGATGTCTTGGGAAGTTGCAGTTATGATTATCTTGGTTATTATGATGTAGATCCAGGTTCCAAATCACGATCGGTTGTTCCTGAAGTACAACGAACCCCCTCGGGGGGCGTCAGCCGCAGCGTGGCAGATGCTGGGCTCCCCCCCGTGCCCTCCCTTGGCGCGGGGTCCCCGGCCCCGCCTCGCCGCTGCTCACCCCCCCCCCTCTTCGGGAAGGGGGAGGGGGGGGGGGGGGAATCGGGCATGTTCTATGAAGAATTCGTGGTCTACGAGCCTGGAGTGGCAAACCCGTTCCCTCTTCGGGGGGCGCCCCTCGCTCCGGTTTTTCATGGGTGCTTTTTGGCGGGGCGGGAACGTGCGACACCTTGGAGTTCCGAGGGAGGCGGTTGGGATCCCTCTGGGATCTTTCCTCCCTCAAGTGGCTCCAGGGGTAGGAGGTTGTTGCGACTGATCACCGCGCGACTTCTTTCCTGGGTTTTGATCCGGCCTTTGTTTTTGGACCCCTGATCCTTCGCGGCCGCCGCCGTGACTTGGGTTTTCGTTGACAGGGTTTCTTGAATGAACATGCGCCTATCACCATGAGGCTACCAGCGTAACTTGGGGTTTTTGATTAAAAATCGTGACTCGCCAAGTCTGTTCGGCACGACCGCGGCTTTTGTGCTGCGGCTGGGCTGGCCTACGTTGCCTCGGCTTACATGCCAATATTCTGACCGTTCAGGCTTGCCCTAGTTCTTTCGGGTGCTCTTGATTCGATCGTTTGTCTCTCTGGATTGATATTGCCCAGACAGGGGGGGGGTCATGGCCCCTGCGCTAATATTAGAGTACCCCCCATCCCTCGTCGGCGCGCGGGTTGCTTTTTCCAGGGCTGCCCCAACACAATTCTGTAATGGCCTAGATCGGCGCTTTGAAGCTTCTATTCTCCTCGGTGGCGGTAGGGGGGCCGCAGGTTTGGCCGAATACCCTTGCAACAACAGCGATGCAGCTCCGCCCAGGCACGTGGCGGCGCACGGCCGCTGACGACCCGACCGCGGACCCCGGCAGGGTTCGTTTTTATTTCCGCACGACGGTTGAGGCCAATGCAGTCTGGGCAGCCATCCAGGGCCGCGCCATACAGGTGGGTGATGACGTGGTGGCCCTGCAGGTCGCGACCTTCGCAAGCTCGGCCAGGTCGTCCAACCGCCGGGGGGGGGGCCGCTCGGCCGCGGCGGGCCCCCCCCGACGATGAAGCGGGAGCTATGGGAGCCGGTCGTCCACCTCCACCGGCGCCCAGTTCGACAGCGGAGGTGAATGCATGTCTCATTGAGGCCATCGCTTCGGACGGCACCTCCGGGAACCTCCTCGACCTCGTCATGTCTAGTCGTCCCATTTCTCTTTCACATGTTCTTCTTCGCGACGTTCCTCTGGAGCTCCGGGCACCGACGCCTTCGATGCCGCTTCTGTATCTCCGTCCTCTGCGTGCTCAACATCCGCAGGCTCCCGCTCAGCAGTGGGGCAGCCTGCCGTCGCTCCCGCCGGCAGCTAGCGCCCCGCAGGTGCCCCGCCCTCGCAGGCGCCCCCCCCCGCCTCGGGCGCCCGCCCTGGACCTCCGCCATCCGCCCCCAGCCGCCTCCGATCCGCCCGACGCGAGGTCCCCTTTCCTGGGCGACGCGCAGGGGGCCAGTTGGAACTCGCAGGCCCTTTTCGCCCGGAAGCGGCGCCGACATGGACTGAAAGATTCCTATGTCCGTCGTCTGTTGCAGAACCGGGACTTCGTTGCCATCGCCGATTCCCATGGCCTGGAAGGCAAGACGGCGGTTTGGAGTTGCCCTCCTGATTGCACTTCATTCTTCTCCCCGGGCACGTCGACGAGAGCAGGCGCGGGGCTGATCATCAAGAAAACCTTCCTAGACAAGTTCGAGGCCGGGGGGCCGCGGTGGATCCATTTGGTCCCTGGCAGGGCAGCGCCTGGGGCACTCGACGTTCACGTCGTGTACTTTACCACTGGCACGCCCGGCATGGTGCAGCCCCTGGGCATGGCAGTCGACGGCGCCTTGACAGCCTGCGCGAGGGAACAGCGGAGCCATATGAGACAGGCGATATCTGCGGCCATGTCCCCAAAAGAAGAAGTCCTTTCAATGGTTATGGGGGGCTTCAACTGGGTAGCTGCCCCAGAAGACCGCATGGTGAAATCCACTGGCGAGTTCTCTGTCGCGGACGACGCCGCCGAGCAGAGGGAGGCCATGGCGACGCTGTGGAGCCCGGCCGGCTTGTACGAGGTCCGCCAAGACGAGCCCACGCACGAGTGCGCTCATGCGTGGAGCCGGCTTGACCGCTGCTACTGGAATGCTGACCGGGCTGGCCAACAGGACCGCCACATGTCATGCACTGCTCTTGAGTGGGTTCCACATCTGTCGGCCCACAGGGCCATAGCATTCGGCCGTCGCACCCCGGCCAGGCGCGACGCGGGTGCCGCGCCGATCCGGCCAGAGATTGTGGCCGACGTCAGCTGGCCTCTCCGGGTCGCGGCGGTGTACCATGAACTTCGAACTGCGGCAGTCATGGTGGTGCTCGGCGGGCGGTTCTTTCGCGGTCGATCCGGGGCCGCTGCCGGTGTCATCATCTGGGAATGGTGTGCCCCCTCTTCGGGATCTGGCTTGCCTCAAGCAGGCCATGAGGATCACGGCGGACCAGATGCTTCAGGAGTCCTCAGCGACTGCGCCAGAACCCTCGCTCGACGAAAACGTCGGCCACGCCTTGCGCTTCATACGAGCGGTAGAACTGGGGGCGACAGGAGTGATGCAGCAGTGCATCCGCGCATGCCCGCGCCTGGGTGCCTTGGCCCCCTCGCCGCCTGAGCTGGCCAGCGCGCGCGGCCGGCAACTGCAACCGCGCCGGCAGCTCGCCGTTGAGTTGGCGCGCGGCTCCGCCCTGGAGGAGCTCTCGGCCCTACAGGCGCAGCGCGGGGAGCTGACCGAGCACGAGGTGGGCGCTCGTCGCAGCCGCATTCACGCCAAGCTCAAGAAGCTTGCCCCGGGTCGCTAGGGGTGCCTCGCCGGCGTGGCGTCGCCGAGCGGAGAGATCCTGACAGACCCCAATGAGATGGCGGACGCCCTCAGACAGCATTGGCAGGACGTCTTCGCGCAGCGCCCGGTGGACGAACAGCTCCTGGAGCAGTGGGTGAGGGACGACGCGCCGCCGCAGGTGCCGCCGCCTGACGCGGATGCCTGGGCCCTCCGTCGTTCACGCGTGCAGAAGGCATTGGAGCAGTCTCCGAATTCGGCTCCTGGTCCAGATGGGCTCTCCTTCGCGGCGTGGCGCCGCCCCGGCCCGCTGGCCGTCGACGTCCTCTGGAACGCGCTGCAGGCGATCACGGCGGAGGCAGACCCAGAGTACTTCGAGGGGTTCATTACCACCTTCAACAGCAGCCTCATGGTTTTCCTGCCCAAAGGCGCTGGCGTCACCCACCGAGGGCTGACGGGCCACCGACCAGCGGACACCCGCCCTCTCAACGTCGCCTGCTGCGACAACCGCGCGCTGGCGAACGCCGTGCGAACCTGCGAAGAAGAGCCTTTGTCAGAGGCGGTCTCCACGGACCAGAAAGGCTTTACTCCGGGGCGGTCGATGCTATCCAACGTAGTCGACGTGGACGAGTGCATGATGCACACTGCGCTGCAGCACACTGCGGGGGCGGCCTGGTTCTTTGACTTCCAGGCCGCGTTCCCCGGCATCGCCCGCAGTTTTCTCCGGCGTCTTCTCCGAGCGGCGGGTCTGCCGCCGTGGCTGCTGCGCTTCGTGGACGCGCCCTACATGGAGGACCGCTGCGCCATGGGCCATGGTGGTGGGCGGGAGATTCCACGGGGGCTTCCAGTCGAGGGCAGGCATCCGCCAGGGGTGCCCGCTATCGCCGATACTGTTCGCAGTTGCCGTGGATGTACTACTACGACGTCTCCGACGCTTGCTGCCTTCGCTGGAGGCCCGGGCTTTCGCGGATGACATCGCCGCGGTAACGCCTTCTCTCTTCGAGTCCGCGCCGATCCTGCTCCACATCTTCACGGAGTTCGGCCGCGTCTCTGGGCTGCAGCTGATCCTGCCGAAGACGGTCTTGGTGCCGCTGTTCCGCGGTGGCTGGACTGACCGGCTGCGTGCGCTGCAGGCCGCCCATCCCGGGTGGGGAGGCGTGCGAATCGCCGGGGGCGCCCGCTACCTCGGCTTCGTCCAGGGCCCCGAACGGGGCCACGAGGCCTACGACAAAGCCTTGGCGAAGGCCCTCGATCGCGCAGGCTGGTGGGGCGCTGCGGGCGGGGGGCTTGTTTTTGACGACGCTCGCTTACGCCGTGCACGTCACTTCCGTGCTGGGCTTCCTCATGCAGCTGGACGCCTTGCCCCCGCGCTGGAAGTCAGTCGAGGCAGAAGCATTCCGGCTTCTTGTGCCGGGCTCCAGTCAGTGGGCGCGCCCCGACGACCTCCGCCAAGTGCGCGCGCTGGGGTCCCCTCGCGGCTTCGACGATCGTCCGCTGCCGGGCGGCGCAGCTTCGCGTGGCCACCATGCAGAATAGCGCAGCTGGAGGTTTGCGCGTGGCACCACGCGCCGGTGCTCTCCGACGCGCCCGCCGCGACACGGACAACCTGATGATCGTCGCAGCGTGGGCGGGGTGGTTTGATAGGTCAGTCTTGCTACAACTTGACAATAATCCCTATCAGTGTCGCATGGACGGCGTCACGGAAGGCAGGGTTGAACGCCGGCTCCTGGAGGCAGAGTCCACCCGCCCGCTACCGAAGCACCTCGATCGGCGACTCCGGCGGGGATTTCAGCGGACCGCGACGGAGCTGCTTACCACCGGGGGCACGGCGGCCCTGGAAACGCGGCTGCGGCACAAGATGGACCGGTGGCAGATCCCGCAGCACCCGCGAGTCCGCGTGGCAAGATGCATACGTTTTCTGGCCGTCCTTGGGCAACCACCGCGGGCATGGCAGCCACGTGGCGGGCAAGGGTGCATGTTCAACTGCTCGCCCAGCGCAGAGGACAGCATCGAGCATTACGCCAACTGCCAGGTCGGCCACTCGATCATCGCGAGGGAGCTCGGCTTGCAACGGCCCGACCGCCCGGGAGACCGGCTGGCAAGTTTCCGGGGTCTTGATCTCGGGCCGAGCTCGGATGACTCGGCGGTCGTACTACGCGGCATCAGGCTAGCGGCCATGTACCGCGTCCACTGCCACTGCCGGCACGGTGCGCTGAGGAGAGGGCACGCCGCGAAGGAGGCGTTGCCGCAGGCCTGCCGCGAGGTCGTCAGGGGCCACCGGCGCGCTGGCACCGTGTACGACGAGGCGCAGGCGCGATGGCGGCGCTGAATCCCTGAGGCTTCCCTTTGCGCTCCCCCATTCCTTCTTCCTTCCTCCTCCTCCTCCTCCTCCCTCCTCCTCTTCCCCGTGGCTTGCGAATGCCGGCTTCGCGTCCTGGCCGGGCGGAGGAACGGCCCCGCGGCTCCGCGCGCCGTGGCCGCACAGTAATCGGTAGGGACATGCATCAAATGAGGACGAAAACGTCCCCAGAAAATCCTGGAAAAATGCGGGGACGCTTCTTGCACCAAATTTTGGTTCTCCTCCGTCCCCCCGCCAGACGCCTCGAGTGGGCGAGCGTTCGCCTCCCATTCCTCTTCGTCGTCCTCCTCCCTCTTCCCGGCTCTGCTTTCGCCGCCTTTCTCTGTCCTGGCCGCGTGGCCGATAGCACGCCGAGGTGCGTTTGCCCAGGCTGGCCGGAGGGCCCGTGCCGCAGCCGAGACGGTCGTCGAAGGCGTTTCCGCGGAGCCGCGGAGTTTTGCAGTCCAGGCCGCTCCGCTTCTCCTCCCCCCCTCCGTCGCGCCTTCCTCCTCCTCCTCCTCCTCCTCCTCCTCCTCCTCCTCCTCCTCCTCCTCCTCCTCCTCCTCCTCCTCCTCCCTGCAGCCCCGAATTAGTACTGCAGGCGCAGGCGGGGCGCGTTGCCTTTGCCGCAGCCGTTGTTGGCCGACTCCGGTCTGTTCCATCGGCCCGGGCTCGCACTCCAGCCGCTGCGGAGTTGCTCCTCGCCTGGCCGGGTACTGGCTCTGCTGTGCCCTACCTCATATTTAAGAACCCCAGTTGGCGAGTGCGTGCGCCCAACGCTTGACTTTCAGTTGCGTTCCCCGTCTCTTCCGCCCCCTCCTCCTGCCACTTTCGAGCGTGATTGGGATTGGGGAGATATTCCATCACCCCTGGTTTCAATACCGTTTGCCTTGGTATGCTGCCCTTGTATGGGCTGACGCTGTAGTTTAACCTTTCAGTATGCGTGCCGACCAATTTTGGCGACCACGCTGCCCGCTCCTCGTCCTCGTCCTCGTCCTCCTCCTCCTTCTTCCTTCCACTCTTCCATAATATTGTGTTGGATTTACGGCAGTGGCTGTTTGGGCCGAGCGGTAGGGGGCCAGACACAATGTATGCAACTTCGTCCCGATTCGTTTCGAGGGCAATTCGTCTCAGCCGCCATCTGGTTTTCTGCAGGTCTCACTCGGGAGGACAGGGCGATGACGGTCCTGCGGCAGGGTTGCCTGCCGACTCCCCGGCACGAGTCGGACAATGATCATGTGTGTGTGCGTTGTCTCCCTTTCGCCTTTTTCCTCCCTCCTCTCCAAACAAAAATGGTACGCCGCCAATTTCCCAAGAGCTTCCCCGATTTATTCATGAGCACGACGTTCTTCTCTAGGGGGCCACATGCGAACCCTACCCCGACCCCCCACGATTTCTGGAGGGGAAGGTGGGGTTCACTTCGTTCGGGAGCTCACGAGCGAAGTGAACCCCACCCTCCCCCAAAAAAATCGTGGGGGGTAGGGGTAGGGTTCGCATGCGGCCCCCTATTATTGTTCCTGTCTTGGACACGCTGCAGAAGTTTCTGGGCACGACGGGTACCTCTGGCAATAGAAGCGGCTTCGAAGAATTGCCCAGCGTCGAGCTTGATCATACTCAAGGCGCACTCCTTGGTTGCCCCACATGGACACTTTTTTCGGTGCTGTGGAAGCTCAGACAGATGGGCCACACGTTTGCTCAATACATTATGAATGTCCACTCGCTTCCAAAACGTCCATGTGCACTCGCTAGAACGGATGTTAAGTACGCGAAGGACCCGGGCTGCCAAGTGAAAATCACGTCTGTACGGGCTGAAAAAGTCGCTGACTACCCCCCTGTCGTGCGAGTGATTTTTGATACACGTCAAACCGCCTACCAAACCGTGACACTTGTTTATGTACGTGAGATATGCATACTGAAGAGATTGTCGTCTACACATAGCGCGCGTGCGCCAGCGTGCCGGGATAGGCTCACGAAAAGCGTCTTTTTTCTTGTTCATGAACGTGTCAACATTCTCGTAAGGTAGGAAGCTGTATTTGTCGTGGTCCAAAAATTCTTTCCGTGTCGCCAGATTTGCCCTTGCTTGGATACGAACGCGCGTTGCTTCGAGTGCTTGTCAATCGCCACTGCAGTCTTCCTCGGCAGGCTCCAGAAAGTGCGGCTGGACATCCCGCGGTTGCCCAGACTTCCACGCCACCGAATTCAGAAGGCTGTCCCACGTGTTGTTGAACGCAGACATATTGATGATTCGGAAATGGTTCAACATGTCTTTGTGGATGCTGTTATACACCCGAAACGTGTTATCTGGCACCAGCACGTCCCAGAAACACGGCATCTTCTTCACACCTTCACGCCTCTCAAACCGTTCGGCTTCCTCCTGGGGCACTTCACATAGAGCATCCAGGGAAAACTGTTCGGGAACAACAACCAATAGCTTCGCACGCTTTTGTAAAACATGATTTTTTCGTCGAAGGACGACCGCCAGTTCGAAAGAATATCGTCGGCCCACAGCCCCCAGCAATTGTCTCACGTACCGTCTTACCTGGTTGAAGCGTTGTTGGAATTTGTGCAGACTCGAATGCGAAGAGCAGGACCGACGAAAATATTGATGCGTACGAAAATCGCACCCCATTTGGGGGGTATTCGTTGTCGCCGTATCGTGTCGAGTCGAAGCCCCACGTGCCACGTGCGGATCATCAGCTTCACGGGGACCCTACACTTACAGTTGCGTAGTCGGGTCTTCTTCTTGGACCCAGAAGGCACAGCTAGCCGAATCACATATTCTAATGTGTACATGCGCTGTGCGATGCTTACCTAGCTCATACCCGCGTATTCCCAGAGTACGCGTACAAGTGAAGAACAACATGGTGTACTCGGTGAACTGTTCTTGGCGCTCGCTTTGTACGTGCAACCCACACCCCTCTTGAGGACTCAACTGACATTTAGGCGGAACTCGTCTGAGACAGCTACTGGTGGTCGGTGCCGCGGTCACGACCGATGCTTGGTCTCCTCAAGTGGAACAATTCTCGATAGAGGCGGTTGTTGCGTAGGGGCTCGCAGGTCGTGAATGAGGAAACTCTCTTACTGTAGCCAGCTGGTTAGCCCACACCATTGGTACGAAGCGAAAGTGGCACGCATGATGCTTCCGCCAGAACCGATAACGAGGTCGTTGTGCATCTTTCCACGTGCTGTCGCGCATGTTGCACACGTGCTCCATGTACCGCCTGTGTACCCCCCGACGACGACGTTCCGGTGGACACGACGTACATTGGCTGTACCCACGTAGCAATGCTGATCAATTCTAGCCCAAGCGAAATATAGTGCGGTATGCCGGGGCACCCGGTCAGGGTACCATATGGTAGCGTACAGTACAGACCGTATACGCTCCACGACATGTTTGAAACATTACGTTCCAAGAGTGCACGTTGTATAGACTTGGAGGCCCCTGCGAAGTATGA